GTCACAAGATTATTATTAGACCTTGTAGCTGATTGGTTTTAAGAACTGTAGTACTTTACATGCTGTGTTATCTTGATTGCCTGGGTGTTGCTTTTCAGAAATGAACTTCAGCATCCTTGAAAGCTATGGAACACTTCCTACATTAGAAATTCGACGTGCTTAGTTAACATGAGAGTAGGCGAGTAAAGGAGGTTTCTCCCATTACGACAGATTTAAGATAAATGCACAGATACATGTTACTATAAGATTCTTTATCTGGTTCAATAGTTCTGCTAAAAAGTTGAACTGTGAAATAAAATCTAATTCAGGCGATTTTTTTTCCTGCCAAAATTGATTAACCCATCAATGTGAATTATGGAATATCCTTGGGATTTTACTTGTTTCTTGTTATACTTTTTACTACTTTATAAGCTTAATTTGTCGCCCTAAATGCATTTGATTGCAATGGGAATGTGTACTGTTGGTTGCCAATTACCATATGTGGTTGGAAGATAGGTTAAAGAAAATGCAGGTGAAAAGACTACCAAGAAAGAAGAGAAAAGAGTATGTCAGCTTTACACCGAGCTAATGTTGTTTAAGTTAAGAATGTATGTGAATGTCCGGAGAAATTATTTGTGCCAAGTGAAAGTGACTTTCTTAAATTAGTTACCGAACAAGTTTGAACTATATATCCCTGAAGATTGATGGGATTAGTTGAGATAGTGATAATTTTGCTCCTCCTAGTAGCAACAACCTATTATTATCGCACATTTGAAACTGTTATTATGGAAATGCTGTTACACGACTCCTTTCCTGCTAGTTGGCTTAGAGCTGCATTACTCAATCTACATATAATATTTAGCAACATACAGGACCTTTGCTATTTTTGTATGATTAGACAAGTTTGTAGTAAAATTACCTTCTGGTGGAAACTGGTGAACGTCACAAACATGATCGTATCATTGTAGCTTCTATTTTTTCTGCAATGGAAACTCTAACATGATCATCTCATATGACTATTGAGAACAAATTATTCTCAAGTAATACTGGCATTTACTCTACTTCCCTCTAATTTCATCAACTGGTCATGCTCTTGTTTTTGGGTTTCCATGGCCACCAAATACGTATCATTTGATTGGGTTGGTAAAAATTGCAGACTTATACCTGTTGGATTTGAAAGCTTTTGGAACTGCAAGATGGATTAGAATTGCTCCCTCAAAAATGTTTGCAAGATATATATATTAGTTAGTAAAAATGCTAGTTGGAGCGTGTCAGAGTGGTTGAGCTTGTGTTAAGATTCAGTTCTTATCATACACTTGTCATCACAAGCTAATAAGGAAATATATAATTTAGGGGTTGAGACTTTGCTAGTGCTCATCTTTACATGTTTATGTTTGAGGTTCTATAGAGTTTGTTCTTTGAGATCGTCCAATATCCTTAAAATATATATAACAGCAAAATTTTGGAACAATGAGATTTATATTTACACCTATTCAGTAAAATGAGAAAGTTTGAAAAGAAAAAAAAAATGAAGTAAAAAAATGAACGTTACCAATGTATATGCTTTTTGTGTGTTAAATGGTTTAACCCAAGAAAGAAATTAAGCCCTTGTTTGACACCTATTTTGTTTGAAAAATAATTTTTGGAATAGTGATTAATGGAAGATTGTGTGGTTAAAAAGTGAGGAGAATTTTTGGGTTTATGTGTAATATTATTCTATTAATATAATGTGTGGTTGAAATGAAGGAAGAGAAATAGAATAAGAAAAAAATGGGTGTGAAACAGAGGCTAATACTTTTGCTCGTCAATGAGATTGATAGAGATTATGGAGATTGATGGAAATCATGAAAATTGACGAAGATTAGACTTAACAATTATGTATATAATCATATTTACCATATTTAGGTTACTATATTTACCATATTTAGATTGATACCTTGATTGTATAAAATAACTCTTCCTATATAATTGAAGAAATCCCAATGGAAAAATCATTTCGTCAAAAGTTTGTCATTGTTATGGTCATTCCTGCATATGGAATTTGAATTTCTGTGTTGAATGCATATGGATTTTCTGGTTTACTTCCATCTCTAGTTATCTTGCATAAAATTACGTGAGACGACAATACTGTTTTATTAAATATGGGGTTTATTATATATTTTTATGTGTCTCTTTCTCCCTCACTCTCTCAAAATTTGAGTATCTTGACTCTCACTGACATGGAAGTTTCTTGGATTCAGAAATGCTTACAACATGGTATTACATAAATTTGGGGAGAAACTGTATTCTGGACTTGTGTCTACAATGACGTTCCACCTGCAGGAGATGTCAAAATGTATAGAGGCTGCCCATGGTGGTTCTTTCCTAGAGGAGCTTAATGTGAAATGGACTGATCACAATAAAGCACTGCTGATGATCCGTGACATACTAATGTACATGGACAGGACTTTCATCCCAGGCACTAATAGAACACCGGTTCATGAGCTTGGGCTAAATCTTTGGAGAGACAATGTAATTCACTCCCCAAAAATCCAGATAAGGCTTCTGAACACACTTCTTGAACTGATACTTGGAGAACGCACTGGTGAATTTATTAACAGGGGACTGATGAGAAATATTATTAAAATGCTAATGGATTTGGGACCTTTAGTCTACTATAATGATTTTGAGAAACCCTTTCTAGAAGTTTCTGCCGATTTCTATAGGGCAGAGTCCCAGGAATTTATTGAGTGCAGTGATTGTGGGGACTACCTAAAGAAAGCTGAAAGACGTCTAAATGAAGAAATAGAGAGGGTGTCACACTACTTGGATGCAAAAAGTGAAGCCAAGATAACTAATGTTGTGGAGAAAGAGATGATTGCCAACCACATGCTTAGACTAGTTCACATGGCGAATTCAGGCTTGGTAAAGATGCTTCTTGATGATAAATTTGAAGATTTAGGAAGAATGTACAACTTATTTCGCCGGGTACCTAATGGTCTCTCTACAATCAGAGATGTAATGACGTCTCACATTAGAGAGACTGGCAAACAACTTGTTACCGATCCTGAGAAATCAAAGAATCCTGTGGAGTTTGTTGACTGCCTCCTTGCTGAAAGGGATAAGTATGACAAGATCATAATCTCAGCCTTCAACAAAGACAAGACCTTCCAGAACGCCTTGAACTCTTCTTTTGAATATTTCATCAATTTGAATCCACGTTCTCCTGAGTACATATCATTGTTTGTAGATGATAAACTGCGCAGAGGTCTGAAGGGAGTCAAAGAGGAGGACATTGAGATTATTCTTGACAAGGTGATGATGTTGTTTCGTTACCTGCAGGAGAAAGACATTTTCGAGAAATACTATAAACAACATTTGGCCAAGCGACTCCTGTCTGGAAAAACGGTATCTGATGATGCCGAGAGAAGTCTGATTGTTAAACTGAAGACTGAATGTGGGTATCAGTTTACTTCCAAATTAGAAGGCATGTTTACAGATATGAAGACATCTCAGGACACTATGCAAGGCTTCAATGCAGCCTTTGGTCCCGAGCTTGGAAATGGCCCTACGCTGGTCGTTCAGGTTCTGACAACAGGGTCTTGGCCAACTCAACCCAGCGTTACTTGCAACCTTCCAGCCGAAATGTCAGCTCTTTGTGAGAAGTTTCGAACATATTACCTTGGGACCCACACGGGTAGAAGATTGTCCTGGCAAACAAATATGGGCACGGCTGACTTAAGAGCAACATTTGGTAACGGCCAGAAGTATGAGTTGAATCTTTCGACACATCAAATGTGTGTCCTAATGCTGTTTAACAATGCCGATTCTCTTGGCTATAAGGAGATTGAGCAGGCCACTGAGATTCCGTCTTCTGATTTAAAAAGGTGTCTTCAGTCCTTGGCCTGCGTTAAAGGGAAAAACATTCTTCGTAAAGAACCCATGAGCAAAGATATTGGAGAAGATGATTCATTTTCTGTCAATGACAAATTCACTAGCAAACTTCGTAAGGTGAAGATAGGAACTGTAGTTGCACAAAAAGAATCTGAGCCTGAGAAGCAAGAGACGAGGCAGAGGGTGGAGGAGGACAGGAAGCCCCAGATCGAGGCTGCAATTGTAAGAATTATGAAATCTCGTAGGGTACTGGATCATAACAATATCATTGCTGAGGTTACAAAGCAATTGCAATCTCGTTTTCTTGCCAACCCTGGAGAAATTAAGAAACGTATTGAGTCTCTTATCGAGCGAGATTTCTTGGAGAGGGATAATGCTGATAGACGATTGTATCGTTATCTTGCCTGAAGAAATAATTCAGGGCATGCTAGTTTTTCGGTTTAGTTTTTACAGTGGAAATGTACCTGATCAGCCATTCTAGACCTTGGTTTTTATTTCTCCAAAGCTTATTTTCTTTTCAATTGAAATTTCTGTCTATTTCTTCTCTGCACTGTTGTTTGATTAGCACACACAAATCAGGTTGGGTATCATTTGCTTATTGGAATGTGTGTTCAAATGCTACCCCCTTGAACTCCGTAATAGTCTTGGTCTATTGCAGGTTTTCTTCTTTGCCTGTTTAAACTTTTAGACGAGATCATGTTCAATATTGTATTACATCACTCCAATGTCCCTGGTACCTAATTTATTTTGATCATGAATCAAAGGAAGCTAAGAAGCCACAATGATATAATCATCATACAGTGTGTGAACTTCTGCATCTTGTACGTGAGTTATGAAAAATCAGCTTGACTCTTGATAGCACGATTAAACTCGAAGCAAACCGATCCAAAACCTACTCAAACAGGTTATCAAGCTCCTCAAGGAAATAAATACTTTCCAAAGCCTCCATGAAAAATCCACTCTATTATTTATTCGTCTCAAAACACTTCTATGCAAAAACAACTAATTATACAGCAATATATAATACAGGTAAAGATAGGGATAAATATACACATTTCTCAAGTAATCATGCAAAAAAAAAAAAAAAAGAAGAGAGAAATACATATATAGCGGTACACTTTTTATTGAGATAATGAACAACATTTTAATCAGTTCTCCTTGCAATCTTTAGTAGGCCGAGCTTCAAAACCTCCACCAGTTCTCTTCTCAAGCGAATACGGCATATAAGTACCAAGAATTCTATCCCATGTCACAAAGAAAGGCTGTGAATAATTATATTTGTTCCCATAGAGTTGATGATGAATATCATGATATGCAGAGTTGTTTTGGAAGAAAAAGTGGAATAGATTCCCGGGTAGCCACAGTCCGCAGTGGTCATCGACTGTTTTGATAGTAGCAAAGGAGAAAAAGAAGATAGAAGCTCGAGGAGACATGCCGGAGAGGAGAAAGGATAGAGCTCCACCAATGGTGTCAAGTAGTAGCCCCTCTAACGGGTGGTTGTACAATGCTCCGAAAGCATAAGGTACGACTAGCCTGTGGTGTCGAGAATGGATATGGCGGTACAGAAATTTGTTTGCATGCATATATCGGTGCATGAAATATTGCCATGTGTCTAAAATCAACATTGCAACTATAATTTGTCTAAGGAGAACAATAAGAGAAGCTGGTTGAGCTTGTGCAGCTTCGCTGTCATTTCCTGTAACCTACATGGCAAGAAGAGTGATTTTTATGGCATAAGTCAGCACATAACTTACAATAAAAGATAAAATGTTTAAGCTGAGCTTTCAGATATGATATGACAGTATCAACATAAAATTCGAAAGAAAAGGTAATACGTTTAAACCGATTTTTCATATAACAGCATCAACAAGAAAATCGGAAGAAAACAACATGAATATTTTGGACAAGAAGATAAAATATTTAAACCAAGCTTTTAGGTTTGATATTAACAGTATCAGCATGAAAAGATCCCAAAGAATATTTCAACCGAGTGTTCAAATTTGATATGACAGTATCAACATAAAAATTGAAAGAATAGGTAAAATGTTTAAAGTGAGTTTTCATATAACAGTATGAACACGAAAATTCGGAAGAAAAGGTCAAATGTTTAAACTAAAATTTTTCCAGTTTAACAGTATGAACACGAAAATTTGGGAAAACAAGATAAAATATTTAAACCGAGATTCTAGGTTTGATATTAACAGTATCAGCATGAAGACATACCAAAAAATCAAATGTTGGAAACATATTGAACTAATTCCCAACAAGAATTAAAAAGGCTGTGCCTAAATATGAACCTAAACAAAGTCAAAGGATAGGCTGATTTATTTAATTCAATCACTTAAATATCCTTAATAACAAGGCAAAAACACTTCAAAAAATACATAAGTTGTACATCAATCTATTTCTATAACTATTTTCACTTATTTTTTTTGTAAATGATAAAATAACTTCAACAAACATTGTCCCTCTTGGATAGAATACACAAAACAATAAATATCATTTATGTCATAAAGTTAAATGAAATATAGAACACAATGGAACAATATTACAATGATGTTACATCTTATAGCTGAAAACAGCTTCAATTTCTTCCACGTGCGTTTTGCTTAAAAGTGAGCGACAATTCTACTCAAATTCTTGGTCAAGATTGGTATGTCACCATAAAAGCAGTTTTCCAAAGAGATTTTTTTTTTTTTTTTAATAACCGTGAATGTCCGGGCCAGCTTGCGTGCACCTCGACTAATTCCACGGGGAAGTTTTCCGAAGAGATCAAAGATTCAATTTTAAGACATAAATACAACTTGCTATAAAATCCAAGTTGTGCTACACTGCCAGCCTTTATACCGAGAAAAAATAGAAAAGGTATGGTTTTGTGCTTTTCAATAGTTTGCGCTGATCCTAGTACACGTCCACATAAAAATAAAGGAATTGATGCAACTACAGAACACATTCATCTTCATTACCTGCGTATAACATCTTTGCTTAACTTGTTGATTCCCTTTTCTTAAATTTGTTTTAAACAGGGAAAATTTCTTCGACCATTTAATAAAACATGACATTTACAGTTATTTCCCCCAAATACTCTACATGCCAATTAAGCGGAATGGAAACTTCAGCTAGTTAATCAAATAAAGAAAATCTAAAGTTTTCCTTCTTGTTCATAACTCTTAAGTGCAGTTACATATTGACAACAGTAAATTTAGTGACGAGTCATCTACCTTAACGTC